TTGCGACTCTTGACTGCAGCATGGTCTTGAAGCCAGCTATAGCAGCATTGGGTCACGCGCGCCGATGCTTGCACCGCCCCGCCGCTCTCCAACAGCACTCGTGACTCGTGACTGGGATGCAACTTGGCCGCACGATTTAGCGTTGATGAGCACCTGGAGCAGGCCAGCAGGCCGTGCATGCTGTGCTGTCAGACTATACCGAGCCAGGCAGACGTCAGACGCTCGGTAACGAAGGTACCATGGGGACTGGGGAGGGGAAGGGGCAGGAAGATGAGAGGAGAGGAGAGAACCCGTGCTAGCTATCATGCAGGGACGAGTTCAGCGGAGACGAGTCGTGCGCTCCATCCAGCTTACTCAAGACTCACTCACACTGTACCATTGTCTGTATATACCTGTCCAGCCTACCGGTGCCATCCCTATACTGTAGGCGCAGTGCGCGTTTCATATCGCATAGAAGGCACAGCATCTCACGCACAATCTGGCGCGGCGCGGCGTGGCTATTGGCATCCATCCGTGCGCGCTCCTCCCCGCGAAATTCGCGATTGAGCTAGCAGTCACCAGTCAATCCAGCAGACTCTTTTCCACCCGGCATGATGGCTGCACGCTGCGCGCTGCACGCATGCTGCTGATGAGCCTCCAGCAGCCCCGGGGGGTCGCGGGGGGCGGCCAGTCGGTTTCCCCTCAAATACGGGCGCGAGTACAGCTACAGGTGTGACTGACTGCGTGAGTCGCGCTGCAGGGCCTGCTTCTTTTCGCGTAGGGCGCAGCAAGCAGTCATCAAACGCAAAGTAAACTTATCGCTCCACCTCTTCATCCATTTCCTACCTCACATCACTCCCCACTTGATCGGCCTTCATCTTCCCTCGTCTCCAAACCCTCGCTCTCTCCCCTCACTTCCACGCCCACTAATTTGCGATCCTCACCATCGCTCGTCTTCTCGGCCTCGCAAGTCCCTCGCCCAATCCACCACACTATCAAAAGGCGTTCTCATCGAAAGCCATCGAGACAACTTGTTGCCAAGCTTCTTCAACACGTGACGGTGCTCGTACGACATTGAGTTCAGCTTCTTGCAGCTCGGCAAGCGCTCACCGTTGCGTACAGACGCAGTTTGGCTACACTGTACCGCTATCACCATGTCGGCATCGCTTCCTCTTCTCTCTCCCCTCGTCACGCGCATCATTGAGCTGTCAGGCTTCCCACCTCAGCTCAAGACCAGAGACATTCAGGCCATCTTCGCCCAGTGGGAGGATGATCGCGGAGGCTTCAAGATCAAGTGGGTAGATGACACCACTGCTCTCGTCATCTTTGCCGATGCTGCCACTGGTGAGTCTGACTCTGATGCCGATGTCTGTTGCGGGGAGGACCACCCAAACCCAGCATACATGCTTGCGTTTTGAGCTCCTAGATGGGCGCTGTAAGCTGGAGCACAGCTGGATGTCAGTGTTTGCGCGCTGGCGCTATTCAGTGCGGCGCCCCTCGACATTCGTGAACACCATCTAGTCAGGGAGCTTGAAGGCTAACTTGCAAAATCTACTCTACCTCTTACGCAGCCAAACGCGCCTACCTGCACACTCTCATGTCACCACCACCTTCGCTCATGAACTCCACTGGTATCTCGGCCAAGGTGCGCCCTTACGATGGGGACGATGCTTCTTCGATCATCGCGTCAGTTCAAAACAGGCCTAGAGGAAGATCTAACGCAGGCGCTGTAGCCGAGCCAGCATACGGAGGTTCTCCCTCTGCGAGTCCCGCGCAGGCAGTTGCCAGTCCGCGCTCCGCCAATCGAGGTCTTCAGAGTCTCGGACACCGTCGCGCGGGCAGTGGAAGCAATCCTTCTAGCTTGCCACCTAAGCCCTTGGCCGCTGCCCTGTACGATGCAGCAAACGGGGGTCCAAGTCCCGCTCACCACCTCGCCAATGCAGTCGCAGCCGAGGAGGAAGCTCACGGCCCTGAGGCTCTTGCTAGCATTCAAGCCGCCGGCGGAGTCCTTCCTGGCGCCTCTATCAACTCCAACGGAAGTAAGAGCACCAGTCCTCGCGCCGCCCCTTCCATTCCAGGAGCACCAGCTTCTCTGCCTCCCAACCCTCTCGCTGCTGCTTCTCAGGCTCGCACCTCCCCACAAACTTCCAAACTTGGAGCGGCCGCTGACATTGTCAGCGCAACCCCGTCTGGAAGCTCGGCTGGTCGTGTTGGCGCCTAGGCCAGGCCCAGCTCTGGACTTGTACGTCGAACTTTTCGTACTGTCCTTACAGCACGACCTCGAAACGGCCATAAGCAATCTTTGGTGGCAACGCAAGCGCACATTGCGCACCCATCGACACTCTTTCATTGTCAAGCTTCTGTGTTCCGAATCCTCAGGGGCGAGACTGATGCAGACGAGCGCGCGGTGACCCAACATCTCACAGGCTTGACTTCCTCTCAAATCCTCCCATCCCGCGCATCCTACGCAACATCGTCTGTTCACTTGCTTCGCTGTGACAGATCATCCTTTTCTGTCTTGTATCAATACAGCCGCCAAGTTCTACAACAACAAACATTCATCGAAGACGCAGATACGCAAGAAGGCAATACAGCAGATTGAACTGTTGGTCAAGGAGTTGAAGGAGACGCACGGTTGATCGCGCACTCCCCCAAGTGCATCATCACTACGCTCTTCCGTCTGCTTGCTGATAAGTCGTCAGTGTCATGTGTCTGAAAGCGCGAGTATGAAGCTTGACTTTGCCGGCGCATGCGCGCCTCGCTTCTGCTCGACGTAAAGCTTGCAAGTTGTCCAAAGGAGTGGTTGTGAAAGCATCGTTCCAGACTGCAAATTGACTTGCATTGCAAGTCAAAAGCTCTGACGAAGTCGTCTTCAAAGAAAGAGGTCGAGAGGAGGGCCTGTGGCAGGGCGAGGCAGGAGTCAAGGCGCCTGAACGCATGCCTGCAAGAGATGCACGTGATGCTGCGCAGACTAGTAAGGATGCACCCAGGATTAGACTCGTGACTGCGTGCATGGCTCTTGACTTGAGGCGGCCCACTCTCTCCAAATTACGCCACCATCATCTTTGCTTCCTGATGGTGCATCCATCGCTGCTGATGATCATCCCCTCAGAGCGAGAAGTCGATCCGCGACTTTCACATCAGAGCTTGACCTCGTCATGCCTCCGTCAAGCTCATCACAGGGCGGCACCCCTCTCATCTCGTCCTTCTTTCAGAAGAAAGTGAGCGGTACGGCTCCGTCAGCGAACGGAGGCACCTCTTCCATCGCGTCAGAGCGCTTGCAAGTCAGCAGGGCCGCAGGAGTCGGGCGTGAAGGCGGGACCGAAGAGGAACAAGGACCTTCGAAAGTGTCCAGAATCGAGCATGGCCGCAGTAGCGCTGGTGCAGCTCACCGCGCCGCGTCTGCGCAGGCGAAAGCGGCTCAGCGAGAGGCGAATCGCGCAGCTCAGCG